GAGGCCCTGCGCTCCAAAAGTGGCTCCAGGATCGAGCTATTGGCCAGGAACAAGGACAAACATCACAAACACTGATCACCTTGCAATCAAAATTCACTCTGAAAGTACCAGCTTTTATGACTTTTTTTTTTTTTTTTTTTTTTTTTTTGAGACAGGGTCTTTCTCCCATCATTCAGGCTGGAGTGCAGTGGTGCGATCACAGCTCACTATAACCTTGACTTCTGAGTAGCTGGGGCTACAGGTGTGTACCACCATGCCTGGCTAAATTTTGTGTTTTTTTTAGTAGGGATGGGGTTTCACCATGTTGGCCAGGCTGATCTCAAACTCCTGGGCTCAAGTGATCCTTCTACCTCGGCCCTCCCAAAGTGCTAAGGCTAGAGGCATGAGCCACCATGCCTGGCCTCCTCAACCTACTCTTGACCTATGACTTCACTCTCAGATTCTAAATCTAAATTTTCAATTACAACCGAACAAACATCTCAAGGTGTTAATGCACAGAAACGAGACCATCAGGTGACTGGACGAAAATATGAGTGAGTATGTTATCCCAGGAAGAGAAGATATTAATTCAATGTATAGGCAAAGACAGAATGTTTAAGAGATTCAACAGGCAGTTTTATGTAGTGGGTAACAGCACAACTCTGGAGCCAGATAGCCTGTGTTCAAATCCTACCCACAAACTACATACTACTAGAATATAGTAATCTAAATCCCAGCACTTCTAAGAACGCATGCTAATAGGAAAGCTACATATACAAATATGTTTGCTACAGTTTTTAATAAAAATATATTTTATACTGATACAAGTTACATATTTTTGAATTAAAATATATAATGAAGTCTTATGGTTAATTGTTTAGAAAGAAGGATGCAGCTTAAATATTCTATAGTAGGAGAAGAATTAATCATGGCACATTTGTATGATGCAATGTCTATTGCCATAAAAATGATGGTAAAAGCTGACAATAAAGATGACACGGCCGGGCATGGTGGCTCACGCCTGTAATCCCACCACTTTGAGAGGCCGAGGTGGGCAGATCATGAGGTCAGGAGTTCAAGACGAGTCTGGCCAATATGGTGAAACTCCTCTACCAAAAATACAAAAATTCACCAGGCGTGGTGGTGGGTGCCTGTAGTCCCAGCTACTCGGGAGGCTGAGGCAGGAGAATCGCTTGAACCCAGGAGGCAGAGGTTGCAGAGAGCCGAGATTGCACCACTGCACTCCAGCCTGGGCAACAGAGTCTCGGAGTCTCCGTCTCAAAAAAAATACATACATAAATAAAGATTACACAGCAACATGAAAAGTGCTTATAATAATAAGATGAGAAGGAACAGCAAAGTACCAAACTATATCTATGCTATAATTGGAGCTATGTAAAGATATCTATTTCAATGGAAAAGGATGTATAATTTAAGAGATACTACATATTTGATTTCCAGGTAGGGTGGCATTCAGGAAGGTTATTTTTAAGATGTAATTATTGTATTATGGAATTAAACATTTGTGAAAAAATGGTGAGCCAACTGATAACTTACAGTCAACACTATTTTAAATACTTAATGATGTATAAATATTCATCACCTATATTAAATTAAGCAGTAGGCCACACAATGACAGATGCAATGCTTTTCCACTTGTATAAAAAATAAACATACTTTTTTTGGTATTATATAACTGAACTTTAACAGTGGTTATCTTTGAGTGATACAGTAATAAAGCATTGTTTTCTTTTAAAAGTTTCCAGTACTTGGCCAGGCGCTGTGGCTCACGCCTGTAATCCCAGCACTTTGGGAGGCCAAGGTGGATGGATCACAAGGTCAGGAGATCGAGACCATCCTGGCTAACAGGGTGAAACCCTGTCTCTACTAAAAATACAAAACAGCCAGGCGTGGTGGCGGGCGCCTGTAGTCCCAGCTACTCGGGAAGCTGAGGTAGGAGAATGGCGTACATAAACCTGGGAGGCGGAGCTTGCGGTGAAGGGAGATCGCGCCACTGCACTCCAGCCTGGGTGACAGAGCAAGACTCCGTCTCAAAAAAATAAATAAATAAATAAAAATAAAGAAAAGTTTCCAGTACTTTAGCAATATATTATTTAAAAATAGTAATCTTAGCAGAAAGAACATGACTATAAATTAACTCCTTTCAAATATTTTAAATTTGAACATATGGAAAGGCATTTTATGTTTTTGGCAAGGCAGCCTCAGCATCAAAAAGCCATCAGTCTTCCTAAAGTTAGTCCATACATGTAACATGATCCTAATAAAAATAGCAACAGGATTCTAGACAAGTTAATCTAACAGTGATCAATGAGCGACACTAGCCAGATTAAATTCTGAAAAGGAGTATTAGGAAATAAAAAATGTTTTCTATCTATAATAATTAAGATTGCATAGTACTGATACATGAGTAGACAGGTAAATCCAAGAAATAGTAAAAAAGAAAGTCCACAGACTAAAGAGTATGTGGAAATTTGATTTTTTATAAGATTGACATTTCAAAAAAAATGACGTGTTCCCTAAATGTTATAAGAAGAATTGAGTAGCCATTCAGAAATAAAAATGTTGGCTCCATACCTAACATCTTATATTAGAATAAATTCTAAAGGATTACAGACAAAATTGTGAATAATGAAACCCTAAAAGTCAATGAAAAAAACAGTACTTTTTTTTGTTATCTTAGAGTGGGAAAGGCCTTTAACTGTGAAATAAAATCCAGAAGCCATAAAATAAAAGATTGATTATATGACTACATAAAAAAATCAGTGCAACTCAATAAAAAATTAGAAGCAACAAATTAGAAGTCAGAAGATAAAGGAGAAATTAGGAGAAAACATTTCAACTCATTTCACAGACAAAGGGACAACAATTCAACAGAAAAAATATTTGACCACAGGTCACAGAAAATAAAACATAAACAAATGAAAAGATGTTCAACTTCAGGCAAAATGAGAAATAAACAAAAACCAAAAAACAAACAAAACACTATACAATAAAATATTTTCCACCTATCAGATTGGTAAAATTTAAAAAGACTAAGAGTACAGTTTGGTAGTTAGGGTATAAGTAACTAGGCATTCCTGTGTGTTGCTGGTGGGAGTGTAAACTGGTATAATCTTTATGGAAGTCAGTTTAGGAATAATTTTCAAAATTAAAAATATACATCTTTGACAGAGCAATTTCACATATGGGATTCTTCCCATATTGATATAGTTGTATATGTACAAAATAACTTGTGTTTAAGGTTATTCATTGTCACACTGAAGGAACAGTAGTAAGACTGAAAGCAACTGAATGACCACCAGTAAGCACTGGTAGAAATATACAGGTTGAATATCCCTAATCCCAAAATCCAAAATCCAAAATGCTCCAAAATGTGACACATTTGAATGCTGACATGACGCTCAAAGGAGATGCTTACTGGAACTTTTCAGATTTGGGGTTTTTGGATTAGGGATGCTGAACTGGTATAACGCAAATATCCAAAAACACTAAAACCTTCCGAAATTCAAAACACTTCTGGCCCCAAGCATTCTGGATGAGGAATACTCAATCTGTATCATGCCACATACATACAATGAGATATATCTATAGCTACAGAAAGCATAAAGAGGGGACTTTTTATGTTCTGAAATGGAATGAGTTTCAAGATATAATAGTAAATGAAAAAAGCAAAGTAAATTCTACCATTCATATAAAAAAAGTGTGGGGAAGAAGATATAATTAGGCAGTGTTTGTGAACCTATAAAGAGCGGCCATGGGGGTACCAAGAACCTGAATGTTAGTATCATTTGGCTTTGCAGGTGGGGGTACTGCAGGGATTCTACTGGAGTGGGAAGTCTGGGAATAAAGGGAGATTTTTTGTGATATATCGTTTGGTACTTTTGGAATTTCATGTCATGTGATTATAAAACCTATTCATAATATAAAAATTTATTTTTAAAAATGGAAATTATGAAAAAATAGGTACTGACTATAGGTATGTAATAGTGTGGTATTGTGGGTGATTTTTTTTTGTCATTTTTCATTTTTAGTAACTGTTGGTATTATTTTGCTAATCATGATATTCCTCAGGAGGAAGACAATGAGAATGACCCAAAGGCTATTGTTCTCAAAGGAGTGATGCGTGGCTAAAGGCAAAATCATTAAGGCGTTACCCCACCGTTCCTGCAGATGAAAGATCAAACCCTTACCCATCAGATCCCGGTCTGGAAGGAGCATTGTCAGATGAGTTTGAAGAGGTGGAAACCACAGAGGACGTGACTGAGGTGATGGACAGCCTCCGCAGAGTGGAAGACATGATGTAGGGCAGCACAATAGACCCCGTGCGGCTTTGCTTCCTCTCCCTCAAGTTGGGTGGCTGAAAACATATGACTCCACATGGTTAGCGGGCCTGGAATCCAGCCCCTATGAACTTGCCCAGCTGCCCTGTTTGCTTGTGGCTAACCAGCACCCATCTGTATTGGCTGGCACCCCATTCTGATTGGCTGGTGCCTGTGCTGCCTCTATTGTTAAATATTGCACATACTGATATTGTTAGCTATAGGTACAACTTAGATTAAACCTCCCTGATTCTAAGACTAGAGACAAAGTTGTCATAATTTTCTGCTACCTACATGAGAAAGGAAAAAATTAAGATGTGCCTCACACTCTCCAATAAATAGCAAAACCTTCCGTCTGCTTCCCCAGCTTAGCTTTCTTTCAGTCTTTTAAAACATGGAATATTGGGGTAAGAGAAAATTTTTAGATTGACACTGTAGATGTGCAGCTTAACCTGGTGAATCCTACATTCTCTAGAAATGTCACCAGTAGGATTACCCCCAGATGCCACCATATGAAACTGACTCACTAATACTGGCCTACTTCTAACAATGACTAAGCTCATTAAATCCAAGACATAGTCTTTGCTGTCTAGGAATGTGTGTGCAAAAGACAAATGCTCCTAGAAAAACTCTTAAGTAGCAGTAGGGTAGGAGGCACAATCTTAGGAAGATGGCAGGACTGAACACTTAATGGCTGAAAGACACGGTCAAAAAGACCCTGGAGGAAACTGTACTGAAGGTGGGCAGACAGGAATGGGCGAGAAAAGAACATGAAAAGAAACTCAGAGCTTTGGTTTGAGGAAATAATGTGAAAATAAGGGGTTTAAGAATAAGACCATTAAAGGGCTGGGCATGCTGGCTCACACCTGTAATCCTGGCATTTTGGGAGGCTGAGGCAGGAGGATCGCTTGAGTCCAGGAGTTGGAGGCCAGCCTGGGCAACATAGCGAGACCTTATCTCTACAAAAAAGTTTTTAAAATTAGCTGGGTGTGGACTGGGCACAGTGGCTCACACCTGTAATCCCAGCACTTTGGGAGGCCGAGGCATGCAGATCACGAGCTCAGGAGATCGAGACCATCCTGGCTAACATGGTGAAACCCCATCTCTACTAAAAATACAAAAAATTAGCCAGGCATGGGGACGGGCACCTGTAGTCTCAGCTACTCAGGAGGCTGAGGCAGGAGAATGGCGTGAACCTGGGAGGCGGAGCTTGCAGTGAGCTGAGATCGTGCCACTGCACTCCAGCCTAGGCGACAGAGCCAGACTCCGTCTCAAAATAAATAAATAAATAAAAAATTAAAAATAATTAGCTGGCTGTGGTGGAGCACACCTGTAGTTCCAGCTACTCAGGAGGCTGAGATAGGAGGATGGCTTGAGCCTGGGAAGTCAAGGCTGCAGTGAGCTGTGATCATGCACTGCACTTCAGCCTGGGTGACAAAGAGAGATCCTGTCTCAAAAAGAAAAACAAAACAAAAAGAATAAGACCATTAAAGAGAACAGGATGAATTCAAAGAAAAAAATGCAGATAAGTACAGCTAGAATGTATTACACCATCACCTGCTGGAGAGAAAAGGTTAGTACATGCACTATCCACTGAACTGCTCAGGAGGAGAAAAGAAAATTGTAGCTGTGAGGAACTCGTCAAAAACAATTATGAAAGCAGCCAGATACATATGAAATGTAATTCACAATTCTTTCTTCCCTTCAAAGGCGAGAAAACTGTACACTTTTCATCAAAATAGATACTATTTCTAAGATTAGGAAAAAATATAAGAATTTGGCCAGACAGGACAAGACTAACCAGTGTCTAGGATTCAGAAAACTTTGGGTTATTTTGTTTTTTGTTTGTTTGTTTGTTTGTTTTGAGATAGAGTCTCAGTCTGTCGCCCAGGTTGGAGTGTACTACTGTGATCTCGGCTCACTGAAATCTCCCCCTCCTGGGTACAAGCAATTATCTTGTGTCAGCCTCCTGAGTAGCTGGGACTACAGGCGCCCGCCATTACGCCCAACTTTTTTTTTTTTTTTTTTTTCAGTAGAGATGGGGTTTCACCATGTTGGCGAGGCTGGTCTCGAACTCCTGACCGCAAGTGATCAGCCCTCCTTGGCCTCCCAAAGTGCTGGGATTACAGCCGTGAGCCACTGCACCTGGCCTGATTTCTAGTACAGTGGTTCTCAAAGTGTTGTCCCCAGACCAGCGGCATCAATATCACCTGGGAACTTCTTAGAATTAGAAATACTTGGGCCCTACCCCCAGATCTATGGAATCAAAAACTCCGGGGTTATGATGTCTCAGCCATCTGCATTTTCACAATCCCTCTGGGCGGTTCTGATAGTTGTTCAAGTTGGAGAACCTCTGTCCAGCACAAGGACTGTTCAAGGTCACCAAGAGGGGAACACACTCTCTCCCACCAGCCCCACTATTTCCATGTCATAGCTGAGGTATTACAACTCATTTGGCATCTGAAAAACGAATCAGTGTCATAAAAGGTCACGGAGCCTAGGAAAAGGCGTGAAGGCCACTTAGATCCTGCTTACCAGTGTTATAACCCCATAGTGCTTTTCTACTTTCTCCTTGAGTTCCCGGAAGCAAGAAGACAACCGCTCATGCAGCGGCTTCAGCTGCTCTGTCAGTTTCTCCCCATGGATGCGGATCCCTTCCGTTAGCAGAGGCATCTGGAAAAAAGGGCAAAAAAGGAGTGAAACGTGCCTCAGGAAGAGGGATCGTTTTGATTTGGTTGGGGAAGGCGGGGAAGGGAGCGATGGGGTGGAAAGGTAAACTGGTAGACATAGTACTGGACAACAGGAAGGCCACTTCTCAGTGTAGGGCTTGTGGACTGGATGGACTTTGGTCAATGATGTGAGAAAATGTGCACACCAAGAATACAGGTTAGCCCTAAACTGGGGAAGGGCTGTGGGATGAGGCAAATCTAACAGAGCCCTGGGGCACTTCCGTGGATGAGCAACTGAGAGGTTTAAGTCTTAGACCGAATTTGGTAGTGATGTTTTCTACCGCTGCCCACTGAAGTCTTGAGAGAAAAAAAATGAGGCCTGCATCTCTTAGCTGGAAATGCATGCCAGGAAACCAACGGTTTTTTTTTTTTTTTTTTTTGTTTTTTTCTGAGACAGAGTCTCACCCTCTCGCCCAGGCTGGAGTGCAATGGCGCGATCTTGGCTCACTGCAACCTCTGCCTCCCAGGGCCAAGCGATTCTTATGCCTCAGCCTCCTCCCGAGTAGCTGGGATTACAGGCATGTACCACCGTGCCTGGCTAATTTTGTATTTTTAGTAGAGATGGGGTTTCACCATGTTGGCCAGGTTGTTCTGAAATTCCTGACCTCAGGTGATCCACCCACTTCGGCCTCCCAAAGTGCTGGGATTACAGGCATGAGCCACTGTGCCCGACCCCAACTGATGAACTCTGATCTCAGCTTTAAGAGGGCTCCGTCAACCCTGGGCAGTTTAACTGCCGGCCAAGGAAACAAATACATAGATAGGTGGTGGTTCCATAAGGGTTAAAAAAGAAAGAAAAGTAACCCTGAGTGGGCTTGTAGACTTAAGCCCTGGAGAATAAAGGGTGTCCTACACTGTGCCCTCCCCAGGAGTGTAGAGGAAAGATGTCCTATACCTGTAATGCTATTAGTCGCTTTAGCAGCTCAACCTTCTCCTGGTCTTCAGGATGCTCCTGCAAGTACTTTTCTGTAAAGAAAGCCTAAAAGCAGAACATATGCAAGTATTAATTAGAACACATTCCTATCTGTGCAGGAAAGCCTGGAAGGGTGAAGCATGTATCCTGTGCTGAAGAACCAGGTGTGTCTAACTAAAAATGCATCCCTTTCCTGGGATAGCACTTACACTATGTTGGGCAATGCAAAAAAGTATGTGCTATTGTATGGTCTTTCCTTTATTAGCAAATTCTTAGCAAGACTACATTCTTGACAGTCACCAGCCCACCACACATACACACACACCAAATAATCATCATCAACAAAGCAAAATGTCATTCATTAAAATAACTTTCCCAAAGAACAAAGCAAAGGCAAAATGGCAATATCTCAAGGCTAACCATTAAATTAAGTGCACAGATATTATAAGGGAAAGAGTAAAAAGTTTAAAAACAGAAGACGGAGGTGATAGGGTTTCTGCTCTTCCCGTGATATTGGCTATATCACGCTTTTTTCCTATATTAAGTGAAAGTTAGTATCTGCACTTTCTTACTAACCCCCATCCTAAACGCTATTTTAAAAAGAAAGTGAGATATAGATGTGAAGACATTTCAAAAATATTAAATTCTGGTTGCCCTTATTATTACATATCAGCACCATGCTTATCAGTAAACACTCATGACCCCCCAGCTAAGTCCCTGTAACAGGTAAATAAGACCCAAACTTAAATTCCAAACACAGGCCTTATATAGGGTACTGTTTTAAAGATAGAATTCATCAGAAAAGAGAAACAGAAGTTTGCATCAAACGTTTCCGACAGGGTCGAAAATAGGAGTGACATCTTTTCTTCCCAGACCTTCACATTCATTTCTGAAAGTGCTTTCAAAGACCAGCCTTCAGATTCCCCTTCAGTCTTCTGCTTTAATGCCATGAAAGCCAAACCCCCCATTACATAAAACCAAGAGCTCCTGGAACTACAGGACAGACTTACAAAAGTGAACGGCCTTTTTCGGTGCCAAACAAAGTATGTGCAAAGCCTACCTTGTGAGCAGACATCAAGGGTTGACTTATGTCCCCCCAAACTTCCTATGTTGAAGTCCTAATGCCTGGTACCTCAGAATGTGACCCTATTTGGAAGCAGGGCTGTTGCAGATTTAATGAGTTAAGAGGAGGTCATACATACTGGAGTAGGATGGGCCCTTAAGCCCGTATGACTGATGTCTTTATAAAAAGGGGAAATTCGGAGACAGAAGTGCAAACACTGGGAGAACACTATGTGAAGAGATGCAAGAAGATGGCCATCGACAAGCCACGGAGGAGCAGCCTCAAGTCATGGAGCACCAAGAAGACACCAGAAGCCAGGAAGAGAGACATGGAACGTTCTTTCACACATCCTTGCAAGGAACCAACGCTGTGACACCTTGATTTCAGACTTCTTGCTCATGGAACAGTGAAACAATTAGTTTTTGTTGTTTTAAGCCACCCAGTTTGGAGAACTTTGTTACAGCAGCCCTAGCAAACTAATACAACAGTGAATATGAATATATATGGAACAATTACCACAAAAAGAAGCATGACAATATAATACATTAGCAAAACAGCTCGTTCTAGCCAGGATCGTATTTACAGGGACTGTCAGCATAAATGAAAAAGGAGTATTTTACTTAAGTTTTCACTGACTTTTACCTTTCAAATACAAGCACTTGAAAATTTTGAAAGTTATAACAATTTTTTTTGGCTAAATGGTAGAACACATGGAAGTTCCCAAAGTATTGGTTAGATCAGGGAACACCGGAGCAGAGTGCCCTGAAATTCATTTTTCTAGCAGAGTTCTGCCTCAGAACAGAAAGGTGAGATAAATTACAGCACACAGCCCCTGTGCTCTTATCACTTTGGCAATGAATAAAGAGCTGGATTAGAATAGTTCACCTACATCAAACATGTAATGATGGGCTTCCCAACTGATTGCAATACATCATGGTGATTAACAAGTTTACTTTTTTCTTACTTTTAGAAATGTGCAGTCATACATATTAACTAAATGAATACATTAGTATTTTAAGCCAAAGGTCCTGAAATATATGTACACATGTATGTATTTATCCTTGCTTTTCGTTCATTTTAATTAGAACACTGTTACACTGGAAAAACTTCATATGACATTACGTATCATTCACAGATATTGGCGTATATAAATCTGTGATTGGGGGTATTCTGTAAAAATTAATACTTGGAAAAAATACACGAAGATTAGTACCAATGAGTACATATGAAAAAGTATACACTGAAAGCATCAGAGTATTTAAAAAGTAGTGTATATTAGATCCTATTTTCATATGGACTGCCATTGTAACACTGGATATTATTACAGCTCCTAACATGGACAAACTAGAATTTGTCTCTGGTGTTGAGCCTTTCCCAGCTGCTGAATATAATAAGGCTAGAGAAGGCTGAGAGGCTGAGAAAAAGGACAAGAAAGAAGATGATTATAGTGGCAGCCACAGAGCACAGACGTCACCATCCATGAAGAACATTCCAATTACACCGTCTGCTCCAAGTAGGCAGGAGGAGGCAGGAAGAAAACCAACACTGGTGAAGCCTCAACTCTATGCCAAACACTGACGTTTCTTCTATACAGGAGGTCTCCCTTAATCTTCCCATCCATCCTGTGATCTATCTTGTAAGTCAGGTATTTTTCTTTTCTTCTCTTTTTTTTTTTTTTTTTTAAGATAGAGTGTTGTTCTGTCGCCCAGGCTTGGAGTTCAGCGGTGCAATCTTGGTTCACTGCAGCCTTTGCCTCCCGGGTTCAAGCAATTCTCATGCCTCAGCCTCTCCAGTACCTGAGATTACAGGCGCCCGCCATGATGCCCAGTTAATTTTTAAAAATATTTTTATTAGAGACAGGGTTTCGCCAAGTTTGCCAGGCTGGTCTTGATCTCCTGGCCTCAGGTGATTCTCCTGCCTCGGCTTCCCAAAGTTCTGAGATTACAGGCATGAGCCAATGTGCCTGGCCAAGTCAGGCATTCTTCTCACTTTGCAGATATACAGAGCTCAGAGAGGTGAAGCATGTTGCCAGGAGCACACAGTGGCCAATGGGAAGCCAGAATTGAGTCCTGGGAGCAACTAAGTGCAAAGTTCCTGCTCTTCCCAGGACACACACACACACACACACGGACACACACACGGACACAAGAGTGCCACACAGTTAATGTCGCTCACCCTTCCCCTCTGGCTCCTTTAATTTCTACCCACTCTCCAGGCGGCTCCACAGGGGTGTCCTTGCCAAATGGTGATTTAGATCCAAATAGTTTATATTCAAAAAATATTTAGCCACTGAAAATATACCACAGCAATGAAAAATTCTACCACCATTAATTATACTTAACATACACTGAATCCATGATGTGTATTTTAAATGCTGTTACATCCTAAACCTATGCCATGGATTAAATTGTGCTGAGTACTGCTTTCATGTCTCAACTAAGAATACTTAGCTGAACTAATTTAATTGTAGAGTCAGGGCCATCAGTTGTCCATACAACCTCTGGCACACCAAGTCAGGCGGGGGTCCTAGAAGCTAATTCTGCCGCCCAGGCTGGAGTGCAGTGGCCCGTTCTCGGCTTACTGCAACCTTTGCCTCCAGGGTTAAAAGTGATTCTCGTGCCTCAGCCTCCTGAGTAGCTCGGACTACAGGCGTGCACCACCATGCCTGACTAATTTTTGTATTTTTGGTAGAGACGGGGTTTCACCATGTTGGCCAAGATGGTCTTGAGCTCCTGACCTCAAGTGATCCACTCACCTCGGCCTCCCTAAGTCCTGGGATTACAGTGAACCACTGGGTCCGGCCCCTAGAAGCTAATTCTAAAGAGAGTGTGGCTCTGCCATCCCCAGAGATGCTGCTCCATTTCCAGTGCATCCTGGGTTCCGGGGTCCACCCACTGGTGTGTATAACCCTCAGGGGAGACAGAATAACAGGTGCTTTGACCAGAGGCATGTTGGTTTTTTTTCTGTGATGCTTTACTAGGCAATGTACCATACCAGCTGGGTTGCAGACAGTCTCTAAGAAGTCAGGGACAATCGTTTCATTCACTTTACTTGCCAGAAGGGAAAGTGAACATTTCTTAGAGCAGCTGTAGGAAATGAATTTGTCGGTGGCAGATGGCACAGAGGAAGGCACACAGACACCCAGGTCTGTGAATCCCTAGGGGGTTCTGGGACCAAGCGAACCTTTTCATAGTTGGAGAAGCCCCCCATGACAGCCGGGTCCACGATGCCACTGAGCAGCATGGAGAGGGGATGCACAGAGAGGGACCGGTCCCAGGCGTGCTGTTGAACACAGTTGCTGATCCTCTCATTGGTCAGCTCCATGGTTTCGATGGCATTCTCCAGAGGACTGATCTCCTCCTGAGTGACAGAGCACATGGGAGAAAAAGGACACTTGTCAGCTCCAAGTAAAGAGTGAAAAAAGTTTAACTCTTCCCTTGAAGAGGTATAAAATATCCACAAGCTACAGAAAAGGGAAGATTTGCTTGTCAAGGTTAGTCTTATAGCAGAGGTCCCAAAACCCCAGGCCAGTATCCGTCCGTGGCCTATTAGGAAACAGGCCACACAACCAGAGGTGAGCGGCAGGTAAGTGAGGGAAACTCATCTGTATTTCCAGCCATTCCCCATCACTCGCATTACAACCTGAGCTCCATCTGCTGTCAGATCAGTGGTGGTATTAGATTTTCATAGCAGTGCAAACTCTATCATGAACTGTACATGCGAGGGCTCTAACTAGGCTGCACCCATCTTATGAGAATCTAATGCCTGATGATCTGTCACTGTCTCCCATCACCTCTAGAAGGGACTCTCTAGTTGCGGGAAAACGAGTTCAGAGCTCCCACTGATTCTACATGATAATTATTTCATTATGTATTACAATATACTAGTAATACAAATACAGTGCACAATAAATGTAATGTTCTTGAATCATCCCCAAACCATCCCCTATCGCCCAATACCCCCGACCTTCCCACCCCAGGTCCACAGAAAAATTGTCTTCCAGGAAAGCAGTCCCTGTGTCAAAAAGATTGGGGACTGCTAGCTTATAAGGACACCACCATTTTTTTGAATAGTGGTAAGATACAAAATAAGCTATTTAAAATCTCCTTACAAAGTAGAATGATGACTTAAACATGGGAGCCATGGTAATGATTATTCCATGGATGAAATGTCTACAGAAAATTTGAGAAGAAAAGAACTGGACTTGTAGTAAGAATTATTTCCTAGGCAACACTTCCTTGGAGACTTTTGAGAAGATCAATGACAAGAGAATAGCAGGATATCAGATCTGAGTCACTTCTGCACCACCAAGAATGTCCACTGGCAAAACGTTTGATGCTTCCTCCATGAAAAGAGGTAAGTGATCTTGAAGGCCATGCATTCAGACCATACATAGTATGAATTCTATGGTTATCAGACGTCAGAAATAATCAGATGTATTAGACTATACAGGCTGAATTTTGAATGAAAAGAAAATGAGACACAGTACAGATTCAGAGAGCTCTTCCTATGGAAATGTCTACAAAATCAGGTTTCAAAAAACAAATATCTCCTTCTTCATTTTACCTATTATCAGTCAACATGACCTCCTATTCCAGACTTGATTCCAAAAGTCTCCATCCAGGAATCATATCCATAACTGAGGAATAATGTCTAAACGTTTTTTCTTTCAGAGACAGGGTGTCACTCAGTTGACCAGACTGGAGTGCAGCAGTGCAATTATTCATAGCTCACTGCAACCTCCAACTCCTGGGCTCAAGCCATCTTCTTGCCTCAGCCTCCCAAGTAGCTAGGATGACAGGCACATGCCACCACACACAGCTAGTCTTTTTGTAGAGGTGGGGGTCTTGCTATATTGCCCAGGGTGGTCCTCCCAAAGTTCAGGGATTACAGGCATGAGCCACTGTACCTAGCTATGACTTATAACACATTGAACTTCAGTTCAGATTTGTTCAAGAAACATTTCTTGAACACCTACTTTAGGTGAAGTGTCATGCTATGCATCACAGATACAAAAGTGATTAAGATGTATGTACTTCGTGGCTCGGAGGAGCTGATGGTGTTAGTGGGGTCTCAGGACATGTAAACATGGTAGGTTAGAAACACGCCCAGGGTGCCACAGGGGACAGACAAAAGGCAGGTCACCCAATTTGGATGTTCCAGAGATGGATTCATTGAGAAGCTGGTGCCTAAACTGAACCTTGATGGGAGTTATTTAGGTGCAGAAATTGCAAGAGTGTGTTTCAGGCAGAGAAAACGATCCAATGTCACGGAGGACTGAAATTAGCACGGGATGAGCAGTACGGTTCCAATAGATTGCCTAGGAGATGAGGCAGAAGAGTTAGGCCATGTGTGTGTGTGCTAAGGAGGGCAGGCTTTATACTCCAGGTACTTGGGGCCATGGAAGGGCTTTAAGCATGAGAATGGATAAAATGGTGAGATTTCCTTAATGGAATTCCCACTGAGGCAGTGAGGTAACTGGATCTGAGAAGGCCATGAATGGCAGGCAGGCCAATGAGGAGGTGGGAAATAAAACAGATTTAATCAATACTAAACAGGTAAAATAGCAGCTTTTGGGAGAGATGAAGAGGGAGGAGTCTAGGGTGATTGGGGACGTGATTAGCAGAGAATAAAAGAAGAGAACAGGCTTTGGGAGGGAAGATGTAATTGACAGGAAACTCCAAGCGGCATTCCAAAAATGTTTCTGGGTGCTGGCAGGATCGCTGAGCAGACACCACTGCTCTGGACATAAAAGAGTCATTCACTGTGAGTGACCTTTAGGGCTGGTGTTGTCACATCAGTTTTACAAAGGAGCTCTATTATACAAGCATGCCTTTTATTTCTCTTTTGAAAAACAAAGTTGGCCAGAGGAGGCTGGCCAAACTGGTGTGAACTGCAGAGGGAATTCAACAAAGGCTGTTATTATATTTGGAGACAGAAAGTTTTTTTCTAAGTGCCAATTTCAAATGACTCACTGTTGAAATCTGTTTGACTTCAAACCACTTGAGAATCCCTGGAAAGGTATATGCAGTCGTATACGTGGTCCGTTCAATCCACATCGTCTGGTGGCAAAGGAAACATGAAATGTTGGTCAATTCCCAGGAGGAAAACATGAAATGTTCGTCAATTCCCAGGGAAAATAGCAAAACTCCCTGGGGTTCAGTTAAGTGAGATTCTATTCTCAAATGCCTCATAGGGAATGAGCCAAATTTTCTCATAAAATTCACGGATCCTGGATGTTTAAAGCTGAAAGGGATCATCTACTTGGGACTTCTCACCCTACAGAGGGAAATGTGAGGTCTAGAGAGGTACGACTAGCCCAAGGTCATTATGAGCAGCAGGCCCAGGAAGAGCCCAGATTCTGGACTCCTAGTCAAGCATTTTCCATGGAGATGACAGCTGGCTGTCTAGGTAATTAGCAGGTGAAGCCTCTATTCCCAGGGGTGCCATCGTTTCTCCTGTGGAAGCTGGTTAGGTAGGTGGAAGACCTCCACCTGGGATGCCAATTTTACCTTTTTTTTTGAGACAGACTTTCGCTGTCACCCATGCTGGAGTGCAGTGGTGCGATCTCGGCTCACTGTAACCTCTGCCTCCTGGGTTCAAGCAATTCTCCTGCCTCAGCCTCCCGAGTAGCTGGGACTACAGGTGTGTGCCACCATGCCTGGCTAATTTTTTGCATTTTTAGTAGAGATGGGGTTTCACTGTGTTAGCCAGAATGGTCTCGATCTCCTGCCTTCGTGATCCAGTGGCCTCGGCCTCTCAAAATGCTGGGATTACAGGTGTGAGCCACTGTGCTCAGCCCATCAATTTTACCTCTTAAAGGACAAAAGGGGTGAACTCACAGCAAATTCGTTGTCTGGATCCTTTTCTCCTTTCCGGAACGGCCGGGAGTATCTGAACTGCTGCACTTCATTGGCTCTGTAGTAGCTGGAGAAGGACAAAGCAATGCTGTATTTTCTCTCTTAGAACAACCACTCCTCGACTTGACTTCAACAAAACCTATAACACATCTGCCTGGTCTGAGTTTTACCCACCAAGCTATCTCATAATCAATAATGCCTCCACATGAAGGCCTGAGAAAGTGCACAATTTGATTTTATTTCACACCTTACTTTTATATTACTTAGGAATTTATTTCACAGCACACAATTTTATTTATTTATTTTATTTATATTTATTTATTTATTTATTCATTCATTTTGAGTCAGAGTGTCACTCTGTCACCCAGGCTGGAGTGCAGTGGCGCAATCTTGGCTCACTGCAGCCTGCACTTTCCAGGTTCAAGTGATTCTCCTACCTTAGCCTCCCGAGTAGCTGAGATTACAGGCACGCACCACCACGCCTGGCTAATTTTTTTATATTTTTAGTACAGATGGGGTTTCACCATGTTGGCCAGGCTGGTCTTGAACTCCTGACCTCAGGTGATCCACCCGCCTCAGCCTCCCAAAGTCACAGCACACAATTTTAAAAGGTATATGTGGCCAGGTGTGGTGGCTCACACTGTAATCCCACCACTTCGGGAGGCAGAAGTGGGAGGATCACTTGAACTCAAGACCAGCCAACCTGGGCAGCACAGCAAGATCCCATCTACACACACACACACACACACACACACACACACACACACACACAGAGCCAGGTGTAGTGGTGTATGTCCCAGCTACTCAGGAGGCTGAGGTGGGAGGGAGGGTCTCTTGAGCCCAGGAGTTTAAAGTTGCAGTGAGCTATGATCGTGCCACTGCATGCCAGCCTAGTTGACAGCAAGACCCTGTCTCTTAGTAGGCGGACTGCCTGAGCTCAGGAATTTGAGACCAGCCTGGGCAACATGGTGAAACCCCATCTCTACTAAAATACAAAAAATTAGCCAGGCGTGGTGGCATGCACCTGTAATCCCAGCTACTCGGGAGGCTGAGGCAGGAGAATTGCTTGAACAATCATGCCACTGTACTCCAGCCTGGGTGACAGAGCAAGACTCCATCTCAAAAAAAAAGGTATATGCACTCACACATACGTTTGTGATCTCATTAGTCTAGTTTTATAACAGTTCTATCAACGCCATTAGCATTCGGCTCTTCAAGACAAGGAATGAGCCCCTCCATCACTGGGGACCAGCCACTCCTCTGTGATGCTTTTGGGTGAAAATAAAAGCTCAGGGATCTGAAACCCAGGCATGAAAGTTCTGATTTTCCTCTGCCTAAAAAAAAACAAAACCCCCACATCCCTTTGTATTAGCAAGCTTTTATCTTACACTCAAAGAAGAATACACAGTAGGTCTTGCAAACTGTAATAAATGTAAGGCTTTGGTTTTGCTGTACTCCAAACAAGTGTGAGGGAGAGACAAACTTCTCTTTTTTGTAGAGACAGAGTCCCACTTTGTTGCTCAGGCTGGTCTCAAATTCCTGGCTTCAAGCAATACTCCTCCTTTGGCCTCGGAAAATGTTGGGATTACAGATGTGAGCCACTGTGCCTAGACACAGATTTTTTTTTTTAAATGAAAAACCACTTACTTTAGGATCTGCTCCGGAACTGGTTTATCCTTGTAGCTGGGCGGCAAGCTCATCACTGGCTTTACGGTGAAGCACTGCATGTCTGAGGAACTTGTTAAGGAAAAGAGAGGGGCTGGGGCCGCGAAGTTGTCAGATACCAAAGGCCCCTGTTCTTCCTGCTTCGCAGCCGGAAATGCCACCAGCACCGATCACTCCCTTTGACCCAAATGCCAGGACCACATTGAAAATGAAGTTCCTTTGTGTATCACCGAAATGCCTTATTCAGTGATTACAATTAATCCTAGGGTCCTTTTTTTTTTTGGTCAGACATCTGGCAAACAACCCTTGCCATCGGGAAATAGACTTCAATGCAATATCAGGAAACAGGTGCTTACAAATGGATTCAAACAATTTCTTGGGACAAGCATCCCCTGAAATCACCAGACTCAGAGCCCAGGCAACAGGAATTGCTTGTATCTTTGGATCCCATCTGTTTATCCAGTGCCATAGTTGGGCACAGTGCTAGGTATTTTGAATGTTATCTCTAATACACACAGCAACTCTACGAGAGGGATATTATTATTCTCTTTTCACAGATGGAGAATCTGAAGATGAGAGGTTAAAATCCAACATCACACAGCTGGTAAGTGGTCAAGTTAGGCTTCAAAAGCAGCTCAAGGGTAAGCGCTCCTGCTCTGATTTAATGATCATGTCTTAGAAACTCTTAGCTCCCCAACCCACCAGGACAGAGATACCGTTTCAAAGTCTACAACAGAATCCAGAATTCAGAATAGGAAGTCTATGTTCCACTTAAGCACTCCATCTGGCTAGGAAGTGTATTTCATATCCGTCACTTGTCTATTACCTCTCCTGTTTTGTTACGTCATCACCACCAGCTAATGCTATGAGGGTCCCAAAGATTTTACATGGAATGGGAAACTGTGTCAGAACGCTTCAGAGGATCGTCTGTCTGCAGAGAAGGGACTGTAGCTCCCATCTTCTCTGGCTTAGCAGGGGCTGTGCACAGCCATAAGAGCCTCGGGGCCATATTCCCCACGGGAAGGATACACTGCTTGGGGGAGGACTTGATGTCTTCCCCAGGAGGCGTGGTGCTGGTCATCTTCTCCGCATTGGGGAACTGGGTTAGCAACCTCAGGCTGAAGTCCTCTCGCCTCTCATACTCCTTTCCCCGGTAGATGAAGATTTTATTCTGCAGGTGAGAGACAGCAAGGGAAGTCATTACACAGCACGAGTGAAGAGGCAACTGGAGTTCCGGGTACTGAGGGAGCCATTGCGCTCCCCAGCCAAGGTTCAATCCACACCATCAAGTTCTCATTGAATATCTAGTCCGTGCCTGACAGCAACTGTCTTATCTTATAAGAGCTGCGGTTTATTTGAGAAGTTAAATCACAGGCATAAAAAATACTCAGCCCGGCGCTGCTTCTGGTGTGGCCCAAGGACCATGGCCAGTCTGCAAACAGTCTGGACCCCCATCTGCAAGGAAATAAGGAACTTGTGCCCTCATGTAAATCAATGACATCACCAAGCATGCTGATATTTTCATGGCAAGACATTCTTAAGGAAGGAAGGAAGTGCATTAATTTACATAGAGGTATAAACTCTTTGTCGATCTCATCACGATCCAGTAACAGTTTGTGGACCAGCATTTAAACAGCACAGCCTCAGAGACTGAGGAGAAGGAACGTGCCTTCTGGCACAGAAACAGAGTCACAGAGAATAGAAGCAATGTACCGCAGTCCCCAGCCAATCCTGAAAGTCTGAGAGAAAATCACCGCATTAAATACTATTTTCTCCACTCTAGACTGTAAATATAATCTCTTTAATCAAATTTTTTTTTTCCCCAAGAGATTTCCTAGGCCGCAGGCATGGGAGTAATTTGTCTCACAGGTGTGACTGCCTGGGCAAGTGCAAACATAGCCATGTTCGAAATGAGCAGTTTGCACTGGCAGCCCACACGATTCATTTTTAACCAAGGCTTGGGCCCAGGTTGTCTCGTAAAATGTCTTTGAAACTCACTTGTCCATTCACATAACAAACATGTGTTGTGCAAACAGAAGATCAGTCAGACAACAGGAATACAATGGTGATCCTGCTCTCACAGAATTACCTTCTAGAGGAGAGAATACAAAACAAGCAAGTAAATAAATAAGTAAACCTGACAGTGTAAGTACCGTGAAGGCAATTACACTTTTCAGGCAAATACTGAATGAAGGGAGTAAAAACTACTGGATCTTTTGGAATACATGATAAAACTTTTCCAAGCTAGGAAAAATCTATGGGACTCAAGCCTGTTGAAATTCCATCATTCAGGCGAAACAACGGTGGGCAAAGGATCAGAGTGTAATACAACGCTAGTTGTATGATGCAGACGATAACTATAAAAGGAATCAAAGCAGGTCAGGAAGAATTAGCTTGGCTGGAAACAGAAGGCTTCAAAGAAGACACGGGCCTTAGATAGGCATAGACAGATGAATGGGAAAAGGAAGTGTAAAGAGAAGGAGTGAGAAGGGCCAGGCGGGTACGTGGAAAGGGTCAGGCCCAGGGGTGGAAAGCACAGAGTCCTGGGAGAAGACATGAGCCTGGCCTGGAAGAATGAGCCAGAATATGAATGATCTTGCATGGCAGGTAGAGGTTTCAAAGACTCGGAATGTTCACTGGAGGTTCTGGAAGGCAGGAGCCGCATGATGAAAGAAGAAGTGTAGACAATGTAAGCCAACGGTGGCATCTATGTTCAACTGAAGGCTCATAGGCTGGACTGCGCAGGAGAAGGAAAAGGAACAGCAGGAGAGAGAGAAGGAAAAGGAACAGCAGGAGAGGGAGAAGTAAAAGCATTCAGTGTTTGTCTCTTTGGTGTTGGGAGAAGGGCGAGGAAGATAGGCGAGTTGATGCTGATTCAAAGATCACTGGTTTTGAGCCTGGGCAATACAGTGAGACCCCATATCTAAGAAAAAATAAAAACATTAGCTAGGCGTGGTGGTACACACCTGTAACCCCACCTCCTCAGCAGGCTGAGGCAGAACAACTGCCTGAGCCTGGGAGGTCAAGGCTGCAGGCAGCTGTGATTACGCCACTGCATTTCAGCCTGGATGACAGAGCGAGACCCCATTTCTTTAAAAAAAAAAAAAAAAAAAGTCAGTGGTCTTGGAGTAGGAAGAACAGTGGTACCCTTGACAGAAACAAGAGAGATAAAGAAATCTCACTGGGTTGGAAGGAGAGAATGATGTAATTTTATATATTCTGAATTTGGGGAAATATCCCATAGAAAAGAATGGCACTGACGTTATATGCACTCACAAGGATTTTATATTCTACTGTAAGTACGCTATGAGGTATGTTAACATCTATAAACTACCTTACAGTTTATAAAGCACTCCTATATGCTATTTACTTAATTCTCAAAACTTTCGTGTGATGTAGGCATTATTTTTCTAAATTACGGATCAGAAAACCAAGACTCAGTGATTACGTGATTTCACCAAAATCACACACTCGCTCAGCAGGTGATTTAGACTAGAATGCTTCTGACTTAAAGTCTGGTGTTCTTGATTTCACAGAATCACTGCTGTCTCTGTGGTCACATTTCTGATTTCATGCAACACACAGGCATATGTAACGGATGTGGCAGGGCTTGTTCTTTTATGTTGACCTGGATTAAAGCAGAGCTAACACTAGACCCTGATGCATTTTCACCCTACACTCTATTTTTTAATTTTTTATTTTTTCTTTTTTTGAGACAGGTCTCACTCTGTCATCCAGGCTGGAGTGCAGTGGCTTGATCACAGCTCACTGCAGCTTCTAATTCCAATCCTCAAGCAATCCTCCTGCCTCAGCCTACTGAGCAGCCAGGACCATAGCACATGCTACCATGCCTGGCTAATTTTTAAAAAAATTTTTTGTAGAGACAGGGTCATGCTATGATGCCCAGGCTGGCCTTGAATTGCTGGTCTCAAATTCCTGGGCTCAAGCAAGCCTCCTGCCTTGGCCTACCAGTGCTGGGATTACAGGCACGAGTCACCATGGTTGGTCCCAGACCTTCCATTCTTTTTTTTTTTTTTTTTTGGTGAGACGGAGTCTCGCTCTGTCGCCCAGGCTGGAGTGCAGTGGCCGGATCTCAGCTCACTGCAAGCTCCGCCTCCCAGGTTTACGCCATTCTCCTGCCTCAGCCTCCCAAGTAGCTGGGACTACAGGCGCCCGCCACCTCGCCCGGCTAGTTTTTTGTATTTTTTTTAGTAGAGATGGGGTTTCACCGTGTTAGCCAGGATGGTCTCGATCTCCTGACCTCGTGATCTGCCCGTCTCGGCCTCCCAAAGTGCTGGGATTACAGGCTTGAGCCACTGCACCCGGCGACCTTCCACTCTTTATTCTCTTTCCTCTGCCTGGTCCATCTCATCCCCAACCACCGTTATTTTAACTCCATATAAGTAACTCACCAACTTTTATCTCTTGTCTGTAACTTCACTTGAGTTCCAGATCTATACAGCTAATGGTTGACTTGTGCCTTTTGGATGTTCCAAATCTACCTCCTCTTGAGTACGTGCAAAACTAAACTTCTGCAAACACTTTAGAAAACCCTGGGAGGTCCTCTGCTATCCGGTACCCACAGCCATCCGCCCCATTCTCCTATACACCCTCTTGTACACACTACTCCAGCCTCATAGCTTTTGGACCTGCTATTCTCAAGGTCTGGGACCCGTGCTCATCCTCTTGATAGCTGCACGGCTTATTCTTTAACTTTTTTCTGGTTTTTGCAAAAATGTCATTTTCTTTCTGAAATCTTTCTTGTTTACTCTATTTAAAATTGCAACTCCATCCCCAACACGTGCCTCTCTAGTCTCCTTCCCTAAGTCCTTTTCTCCATGATATTTACTGAATAGCTACACTGTAGAAGGCAGTGTTCTAGGCCATCTGACATACTCAATAGTTTATTTATCTCATTTTCTGATCTCTCCAAGCTGGAACATAAGCTTGATAAATTTCAAGATTCTGGTTTGTTTTGTCTCTGCTCCCATGCCTATATTAGAGCCAAGTACGTGGTAGGAGTTTAATAAATATTTACTCAAGGAATAAATTCATTCTCTCCTCCGTGACTCTGGCCTTTTCCGGTCCTGCTGTCCCAGTAAATAGTTCAACTACCCCCTCCAATGATGCAGGCCAGAAGCCCAGAAATCATTCTTGACAACTCTCGCTTCCTCACCCACACAGCCCATCAATCATCAGATGGCTGTGACCTCATCTCCACCACTCTAGTCTTTCCGCTTCCCTCTAAAGCCACCACCCCCACGTCCCGAGTCTAGCCTGTCATCTCTTTTTTGAACATCTGCAATGGTCTCTTAGTGGTTTATCTGCAGCATCTCCCGTCCATTCTCCATGGATGACCATGGAGACCAAAGCCAGATGACCTTCCCAATATGAAAAATCTGTAGCAGCTCCCACTGCTCTTAGGATGCAGAGAGAACACACCAGGAAACCTCAGGGCTGTGCAGGCTCTTCCAGGGCTCCCCTCCTCCCTGCCGGCACCCCAGCTCTCTCTGTGCCTGCCGCATCGGCCTTTCCTTCCCAGGCACTGCCCTGCTCTTGCCTGCCGCTTCCTCTGCCTGCAATGCTTATTCCTACTCCCTTCACCTGCTCCACTCCCAGCTTACCTTTCAGACTGCAGCTGAAATAGAGGTTCCCTGGAAAGACTTTATCTTATCTTGTCTTATTTGAGACAGTCTGGCTCTGTCGCCCAGGCTGGAGTGCAGGGGCACCATTTCAGCTCATTGCAACCTCTTGCCTCCTGGGCTCAAGTGATTTTCCTGCCTCAGCCTCCCAAGTAGCTGGGATTATAAGTGTGAACCACTGCACCAGACCCTGATTCTTTTTTTTTTTTTTAAATGAAGACATAAGCTGGGCATGGTGGCTCACGCCTATAATCCTAAAACTTTGGGAGGCCGAGGCGGGTGGAACATCTGAGGTCAGGAGTTCGAGATCAGCCTGGCCAACATGGTGAAACCCCATCTCTACCAAAATACAGAAATGAGCCGGGCCTGGTCATGCACGCCTGTAATCCCTGCTACTTGGGAGACTGAGGCACGAGAATGGCTCGAACCCCAGAAGGCGGAGGTTGCAGTGAGCCGAGATCGCACCACTGCACTTCAGCCTGGGTGACAGAGTGAGACACTGTCTCAAAATAAGTAAATAAATAAATAAAAATAAAAAACAATATTAAGACGTAATCTACATACAGTAAAATGGACCCCTTTTTGCGTAAAATTCTGTTAGTTGCGACAAACATAACCAGGACCACAATCAAGATACAGAACAGTTTCCCTGCCGCCAAACATTTCCCCAGGCCCTTCTGCAGTCAACCTCCCCTTGACCAGCAACCACTGATCTATTTTCTGTCCTGATAGGAAGTGTTGCCTTGGCAAGAATTTCATATAAATAAAACCACAGAGTATGTAGTCTTTTAAGTCTAACTTCTTTTACCTAGCAAGATGCATGTGGGAATTGTGCCCGCAGTTGTGTGTATCAGGAGCTCACTGCCTTTGGCTGCTGTAGTATTCTGTTGTGTGGAGACACTGAAGTTTGTTTATCACATCACCAGTTCAGGGACACTTGGATTGGATCCTGTCTTTGGTGACTATGATTAAAGCTGCTATAAATATTCCTGTACATTTTTTGTAAGAGGGTAAGTTTCTATTTCACTTGGGTAAATATTTCCTGGTCACAGATTCTTATAGCACAGGGTATCTTTCTTGGTTACAGTTTATTTATTTATTTATTTATTTTTGAGATGGAGTCTCACTCTGCCACCCAGGCTGGAGGGCAGTGGTGTGATCTTGGCTCAATGCAACCTCTACCTCCCGGGTTCAAGCAATTCCCCTGCCTTAGCCTCCTGAGTAGCTGAGATTACAGGCATGCACCACCATGCCCAGTTACTTTTTGTACTTTTAGTAGGGACAGCTTTTCAGCATGTTGGTCACACTGGTCTCGAACCCCTGACCTCAAGTGATCCGCCTGCCTCAGCCTCCCAAAGTGCTGGGATTACAGGCGTGAGCCACTGTGTCCGACATGCGGTTTAAATTTTACATTCATGTGTGATTAAAATCTCCCCTCATGAATTTAGGTTGTAAAATCCATGAGGGTAGGGACTATGTTTGACTGTAATCAGCAAAATATTTCTAATGCCTTCTCTATACCTGGCACAGAGTAGATGCTCAATAAATATTTACTGACTGAATGAATAAACAGTGTCTCATCAGGCACTGTTAGGAATGTAAATTGCTTGCTTTATCACTTGTTTTAAAATTAGGAGAAAGTAGATGGAGAATAAATGTTTAAGCAAAGCTCAGCTCTAAAAGAAACTTTTCTTAAGAATTTTTGTTTATTAAACTATAAAATGAGTATCACATTATAGATGATTTTGAGATGGAAGAAAAATACCATCCTTGTCATTATTATTATAATAAAATGTTTTATTTTGGGAGACTCTCGCAGTCTAGTTTTTGGGATACTTACTTTCAAATTAGCTCTAGCTAGAAACACAACAAACAATGAAATACATCAGTCCATGCTCTTCCCCGTAGTGACCCACAGCAGCTGACCAGTGCGGGGCGTGCTTTTCCCTTTTGTACTGCACCTGGGAAAAGTCATTTCACAAAAGACCTGCCAGAACACCAGGGGTGTCCGGGGGTGTGGGGTGAAGAGGCCGGCCGCTCAGGAAATGCTTTCCCTCCCCTACCTCCCACAGCGAGAGAACACGGGTCGGCAGCTGCTAACACACTGTTGCCCATCTGGAAAAGAAACGAGTTTCTTCCCTCCTCCTAATGGCCTGGGAGACCACCATTAGGTTTCTTACCCGCAGGAAAGAAGGGAAGCCCTGTCCATAGTATCCAACAGCAAAGTACTCAGGCTGAGGCCTCATTGCCTTAATGATGTTCTCATAAAACGAGGCCCTTTTTTTCTGGAAAACAAAACAAAACATTCCAAGGGGAGGTTATAAGGACACGGTTAGGGGGAGAAAAAAGTCAGACCTTGTTTTGTTGTTTCCCATGTAACGCAGAGCAATGAAAGGTCTTTGAAAAACACCCTATTGGGCAGAAAAGGATTATCCTGTTCTCAGATCACAGGTTTTGGACCTGGGCTCCATGAATGGACACTGGAGGGCTGTGACTCCCTGAGGGTGTATGCAGAAGTGTGTGCACGTTTGCATTCTTCTGCGTAACGGGGCAGTGTGCAACTTTTTCAGCAGTTTCTCAAAGTGGGCTCAGGACCTATAAAAGGTTAAAAAGTGCATTCTGAGATTCACAGAAGGTGGCTGCACTTAACCAGATACCCATGGGAGAAGATAAAGGACCTTCCAAGGCCAGGCGCAGAGGCTCATGCCTATAATCCTTGCACATTGGGAGCCGCAGGTGGGAGGATTGCCTGAGGCTAGGAGTTTGAGCCCAGCCTGGGCGAAGTAGTGAGACCCCATCTCTACAAAAAATTTAAAAATTAGCCAGCAGCTGAGGCAGGAAGATGTCTTGAGCCCAGGAGTTCAAGGCTGCAGTAAGCTATGACTGCACCATTGCACTCCAGCCTGGGTGACAGAGTGAGACCCTGTTGTGAAAAAATAATAAAAATAAAGAACATTTTTAAAAAGAAGGACCGTGCAGTTCATGCAGTGGTTTGGATGAAAGTGTCTGGTAAGTTATAAGTACCCAGAAGGTGGTGGTGATGTTCTGTTTTTCAGTATCTGCTACCACCTTTATCTTTAATTCTTCACAAGATGAGAGGCTTCCCAGCTTTGGCTCACAAGGTCAGCCTTAAAGTAAGCAAAATAGCCAGCCAGATGTGGGCAGCTGTGAACAATGACCTGAACCCCCTTCCTCCACAATAGTTAGCGTGCCATTTATCTAGGTGACAGTCTCATCAAAATACTATTTTCTTAGACCAGTAGGTAACATGTTACATTACTAATATTTCAGCTCAGTTCAGTTGATGAAATTATTATTATTACTATTTTTTGAGACAGGGTCTCACTCTGTTGCCCAGGCTGGAGTGCAGTAGCATGATTACAGCTCACTGCAGCCTTGACCTCCCAGGCTCAGGTGATCCTCTCACTTCAGCCTCCCAAAAGTAGCTGAGACTAGAGGAACGTGCCACCACACCCAGCTAATTTTTTGTATTTTTTGTAGAGATGGTGTCTTACTATGT